TGGCATAGAAAAATGGAATGATTGTTGAATCATTGATGAAAATGGGACCTAAGGGTTGAAATGGTAATTATGGAAAATGGTCTAATTGCATTGTTTAATTAATTGGGATAATTAATTGGTGAGAAATGAGGAAATGAAATGTTGATTGAATATCCATTTGTGCATTTATTTTGTCTCAGATAGAGATCCTCGTTTTACTGCTAGGTTGTGGCAGAGTTTGCAGAGTGCCTTGGGCACTAAGTTGACCTTTAGTACGGCTTATCATCCTCAGACTGACGGGCAGTCCGAGCGTACTATTCAGATCCTTGAGGATATGCTTCGAGGGTGTGTCCTAGACTTCAGTGGGACGTGGGAGAGGCACTTGCCATTGATGGAGTTTGCCTACAACAACAGCTTTCAGTCTAGTATCGGTATGGCACCGTTTGAGGCTTTGTATGGCCGACCGTGTAGGTCTCCAGTGTGATGGGCCGAGGTGGGTGATGCACCTTTATTGGGTCCGGAGTTGGTTAGGGAGACGACGGAGAAAGTCGAGCTTATCCGTAGGAGGCTTGTTACAGCCCAGAGTCGTCAGAAATCTTATGCCGACCGTAGGAAGAGGCCATTGGCGTTTGAGGTAGGTGATCATGTTTTCTTGAAAATATCACCTAGGCGATGTTTGATGAGGTTTGGGAAGAGTGGGAAGTTATCCCCTCGGTTTATTGGTCCTTTTGAGATCCTTGAGAGGATTGGCGATGTTGCTTATCGGTTAGCTTTACCGCCGCAGTTGTCCGGAGTTCATGACGTGTTTCATGTGAGTATGCTTCGGAAGTATGAGCCAGATCCATCACATGTATTGGACTGGACCGATTTAGAGGTAGATGAGGATGCCTCGTATGAGGAGAGACCAGTTCGGGTCTTGGATAGACGGGATCAGGTCATGCGTGGCAAGACCATTCCTTTGGTGAAAGTCTTGTGGAAACATCACGGAGTGGAGGAAGCCACTTGGGAACGTGAGTTAAAGGTCCGTGAGAAATATCCGGACATGTTTATTGATATGTAATCTTGTATTTAAATTTTGAACTATTGTTGAACTTAAGAGCTTTTATATATGTCTTAAGTTGTGAAACATTGAAAATGTTTGGTTTATTGGAAGTATGTTTTGGAACTTGCCTCATATGGAAGTTGAATGTAACATTATATCTGTTGAATATATTGTTGAAATTGGAAAGGAAATGCATAATGTTGATGCATGTTGAAAGTACATATGTTGTTTACATATTGTGAAATGCCTCTTGATAAGAGATGGGATGACCGGTAATGGGTCGAGTTTTTGAATGTTAAAATGTAACATTGTTAAAAATGGAGGAAAACCTGTCCTTGAAACTTATGCTTAATTTCGGGGACAAAATTCTTTAAGGGGGGGAGGTTATAGCGATCCCGGGTTTACCCTTGTTGTGCAGTGATCCGGCCATGTGCCCGTGGATGTTGGTAGTTGATCATTATCTTGTTTGCATCATTTCTTACTTTGTATTTGAGTTATGAGATGTGTTAGGCAGGTCGGTTATAGGTTGGTTGAGTTTAGAAACCAAAACTAGTTGCCCAGATTTTGGCCTGTCCGCTCGAGCGGGTATTATTGCGCTCGAGCGGGGATTACACACTTCCAGTATTTTCGTGTCTCTGCAAAACTTCTGCAGATGTGATTTTTGCGCTCGAGCGGGTTTGTTTACGCTCGAGCGGTGGCGCTCGAGCGGGTCGGTGGTCGCTCGAGCGGGTAGTACTTCCAGAGTATAAGTTTTGGGAGGGGGAAATCCACGCTCGAGCGAACTGGTTTTCGCGCTCGAGTGGAAGTGCTTTATTCTTGTGTCTTGGCGCTCGAGCGGGCCTTATTGCGCTCGAGCGTGTGGCCTTATTATGCTCGAGCGTGTCCAGATTTTTGTTCTTGGCGCTCGAGTGGGTCATGCGTATATGAGTTATCCGCTGGGTGATTTCAAATCACTTTTTGCTTTTCTTTCTCTCTCCTACTTTTTCTAAAAGCCATTTTAAGAGCTCCTCTCTCTAAAATCTTGCCTTCTCTCTAGATTTTGATCTAGCTAGGGTGAGTTCTTCACCTTCGGCCTTTGTAAAAGTCGTGTTGATCGTCGAGGGCGTCATTTTCATCCGAGAATCTTGGTCTTTGGAGCATTTCGATTTTGGTCTTCGTCTCCTTTGGAGCTCAAACTTTGAGGTAGGGATATCCTACTCCTCTCTATGGATTTTATCTTTAAATTTTAGTATTTTGAGATGTTGGGGTTGGTTTGGTAAGTTTGTGAAAGTTTGGGGCTTTTGTGTTATTTTTACAAAAGTTGGGGTTTTTTCCTAATCTTTTCAGGGTGGAGTTGGGGAAACCTGTAAGCACCTAGTTGGAATGTTGATTATATATCCATTGTTGCATTTATTTTCTGTATAGAAATAACTGCTTTGGGCTATCGGTGGAGGATAGTCTTGATTGTTGTAGACAATGCATGATGATTAGGCAAACGGAAACTAATCACTGGAATGAGTCATTGATTATGATTGATTGAAAGAACACGTTAAATTTATGTGTTGTGTGATGATGTGTATAATTATTGTTTATATGCATTGTGTTGTGTTGGAGGAGATAGGGGATGTACTCCATGGTTTAGGGGAAGATAGGGGATGGACCTCTAAACCGGATGTGTTGGGAGGAGATAGGGGATGTACTCCACGGTTTAGGGGAAGATAGGGGATGGACCTCTAAACCGGATGTGTTGGGAGGAGATAGGGGATGTACTCCACGGTTTAGGGGAAGATAGGGGATGGACCTCTAAACCGGATGTGTTGGGAGGAGATAGGGGATGTACTCCACGGTTTAGGAGAAGATAGGGGATGGACCTCTAACCGGATATTGTTGGGAGGAGATAGGGGATGGACTCCGTAGATAGAGCTCATATGCTTATCTATTAATGTGTTGACAGAGCTCATATGCTTGTCATTGGAAGTGTGATAGTGCTCATATGCATATCTGTGGAAGTGATGATATAGCTTGTATGCTTATTTGTTGTTGTGTGATATAGCTAGTATGCTTATCTATTATGAAACGGGAGTGTTTGATATGAGTTATTGTCTCATATGAGTTGTTGGCCAAGTTCTGAGCCATGATTGTAAAATTGAGGATTGAAAGGAACTGGAAAAAAAAATGAATTGTAACATGGACTTGTATGTCATGAAACTATAAAGCGTGATAAAAAGAAAGTATCAGTGTTGGACATCTATCAACTGCTAATCTTTTAGTCATTGTTCATATTTGGTTTAGTGTATTTCTACTGGGCTGTGGCTCACCCTATATGGGAATATCATTTTCAGGTACAGGTAGCATGCCACCTCCAAGGACGTAGCTTGAGAGGCTAGAGGCGGACACACTTTTGTCGTTTTATTTTTGATGTATTATATGTAAATTCAAGCCAAGGGCTTAATGTGTAAATGAGTTAGTACTCTTTTGTTGTAACCAAGTGTTAACTTGGAAAGCTGTAAGCCTTTAGGGCATTTGCTTTTGTCGTTAACATGTAATACTTTTTGTAATGAAACTCTGATAAATGAAAGAATGTGGAACTTTTACATATCAATGCATGTCTTTATTGATAGGTTTAATGTTGTTATTTTGAGGGCGCTACAACACAGAACCAATATTTGTAAGCCTACTCTTATAACTTCTTCCCTTCAAGAGGATCTATGTACTGATGAGGAATTATAGGATATGCCTATGAGTCCAATGGTTGGTACTCGAGCACATATAAATTCATGTCGTCATTCTCTTGGCAAGATAGACGCATTATGTCCTTTCTGTTCGGCATTACATTGGATGGATGGAAAATGAGTAAAATCATCTCCAAACTGTCCTCTATTCGGAACATGTTGTTCAAAATGAAAGGTTAAGCTTCCTCTGCTTATTACACCCCCTTCACTTCTTCAAGCATTATATGATGGGAATGATGATAAATCAAAATCGTTTCGACATTATACTCGAGTGTACAATGCAACCAATGCTTTTATAAGTCTTGGTGCTACATTCGATCCAAGAGTACTTACTGGAAGAGGCCCTACATCATTCACTATCCATGGGGAATTGCGACATCGAATAAGATCACTACTACCACAATCATGGCAAGATGCAGCTTGTGTGCAATTGTACATTTATGACCCTGATTTAGGTTTAGAAGTTTGCAATCGTAGAAATCCTCAATTAAGAAGAGATGTTCTAAAAACTATTCAAGATAGTTTACTACAAGTTAATTCATTCGTTGCTAAATTTCGCCAGGCTCATGCAATTTTAAATTAATTAGCCTTGATAGGACGAAATTTATCTGCTCATCTTCACTACAGTTCAATGACAGATCAACGACGGTATAACCTACCAACTACAGATGAGATTGCAGTCGTAATACCAGGTGATGGAACTAAGGTTAGTGGAATGAAATATGTTATTTTACATCTACAAGGAAATAATGAGCTAATGCAAATCAATGAATGTCACCCAGTATATTTGCCATTACATTATGTTTTATTATTTCCACATGGTGAGCTTGAATAGGAACCTGAGATGAAACTGTGGGATGTTCAACATGATCAGCCTTCAACTGATTGGCTTACTCAAATGGATTTTTATAGTTATCGTTTGTTTGAACGACTCACAAAGTATTCGACAATTTTGAGAGCTAGAAAATTGTTCCAAGAGCTTTTGGTTGATGCTTGGGCCGCAACTGAACAAAATAGGTTGACTTATTACAAGCTTAATTAAGGGAAAATCCGTGCTGAACTTTACCAAGATTTGACAGATATTGATCCAAATGACCTGCGACCCAATCAAATTGGTCAAAGGTTTGTTTTGCCATCTTCATTTCCTAGAGGTCCTAAACATATGTTTGAAATCTTTCAAGATTCAATGGCTATCACACGATACAACCAACATCCAGACATTTTTCTCACCATGACTGCAAATCGTAATTGGCCAGAAATTACTTCAGCATTATTACCGCACCAAAAACCTATTGATCGTCTTGATTTAATTGCCTGTGTTTTTGAGTTAAAGAGAAAGTGCTTTATGAAGGAGATAGAAGCAAATCGAGTGTTTGGTAATAAAGTTGCGCATGTTTTTATAATTGAATTCAAAAAACGAGGCCTTCCTCATATCTATGCACTTCTATTTCTTAAGGGTCTAGACAAAATTTGGACATGTGCTCAAGTAGACAAATTGGTTTGTGCAGAATTTCTAGATCCAAATGATGAACTTATGTTTTTTGAAACTATTAAGTGTTGTATGGTACATGGACCATGTGGTGCTCGAAATCCACAAGCACCATATATGGAAAATGGTAAATGCACTGAGAGATACCCTCGAACGTTCGTAGAAACAATTACCATGGATCAAGATGGATATCTTATCTATCGTTGTCGCAATAATGGTCAACTTCATATTGTGATAGGGAAATAAGTTGATAACAGAGATGTCATACCATATAATACATATCTTTCTAAGCGTTTCAACTATCATATAAATGTAAAAGTTCGTGCCGGAATGAGATGTGTCAAGTACATACACAAGTACATTTACAAGGGTTATGATTGTACAACGATGGTGTTGGGATTGATAAATGAGATCCAACAATATCTCGATGCGAGGTATATTGGACCTCTAGAAGCTACTTGGCTAATATTTGGTCATCCATTGCATGCAGAGATACCAACAGTTGTACGCTTAGCACTTTATTTACCTGGAATGCACCGCGTTCTTTTTAATCCTAATGAATCATTAGAAGTAATTGTTTCTAGAGCTAGGCAAAAAATGTTAACTCTTATTGGTTTTTTTGCATGTTGCGTTTCTATGGAAGATGAATGTCCATTCACTTACCAAGAATATCCACAACATTTTGTTTGGCTTAATTTAGAAAGGAGATGAAAACCAAGACAGCAGGGGTATGCAATCGGTAGAATGTACTTTGCTAGCCTTAATTGTGGTGAGAGATTTTATTTGTCTTTGCTATTAACTGTTGTCAAAGGACCAAAATCGTTTCAATGCTTACACACGGTCAACAATGTTTTGCATGATATGTTAAATCAGCATGTGTTGCAAGAGGACTTTTAAAAGATGATGAAGAATGGATACAATGTCTTAAAGAGGCTGCAATTATGAAAACTGGTTATCGATTGAGGAGATTGTTTATTATTATTCTTACTTAGTGCTCTCCACTGCAACCATATGCATTATGGAATCAATTTTCAATGCATATATGTGATGATCTTGCACATAAGATTCGAACATTGTTTGCCATTTCTGAACCAACTGAGGCTCAAATTGAAGACTATGGTCTATATCTTTTCAATCAAATGCTCCAAGAATCCGGAAAAAGTTTAATTGACTTCCCACCAATGCCGTAACCTTCTACAAATTGAAGTGCAGTAGTTGGTAACAAGTTGACATTCGAACATGAACAACTATAGAATGAGGCACAACAGACAGATGCAGAAATTATTATTGATCACCTCAATAATGATCAGCGAACAACTTATGATACAATCATTTCCTTAGTCTTTGAAAATAAATAAACTATTTTCTTTTTTAAATGGAGGTGCAGGAACAGGGAAAACGTTTTTTGTATAATACAATTGCATTAAGGTGTCGTAGCCTTGGCCATATTGTTATTACTATGGCTTTATCTGGAATTGCATCATTGTTATTGGTAGGAGGTCGCACTGCTCATTCAACATTTTCCATTCCGTTGGATGTATTGGAAAATTCAATTTGTGGATTTAACAAGCAATCATTACAAGCAGAATTGTTTAGAGAAACAAAACTTATAATCTGGGATGAAGTTCCTATGCAGCATAGACATTGTGTTGAGGCAGTTGATCGCACACTTCGGGACACTTGTGATAGTGAAAAGCTATTTTGGGGTATCACTGTCGTTCTTGGTAGAGATTTTCGACAAATCTTACAAGTTATAACCAAAGGAGTCCTGAGCAAATTGTGAATGCATCATTAAGAAACTCTTTTCTATGGAAAGATATACATGTTCTGTCTTTAAATTTGAACATGTGCTTGAATCATGTAAATCTTAGAAATGCTAATTTTGCAAAGTTCTTGATGGAGGTAATATTTCTTCAAACTTTTTCTCTATTATATGGTTCTTTTAAATTGACGAAATACATTTACGTTTATGTACTTTAATTGATTTTACTTACTATTTTATTTATTTATTTTTATAAATAGATTGGGACCAATTCTCAAGAAATTGTTAAACTTCCATCAACAATACACAAATGCCAAGATCTAAAAGACATAATCTCAGTAGTTTATCCGCAACTAGATGTGGCAATGACATCGACTGCAACATTTTTAACTGAATGTACAATTCTTTCTGTACGGAATGATGATGTCAGTGCTATCAATATTGCTGCATTGAATATTTTTCCCGATAACACATATACTTATTTGGCAGCAGACAAGATGTCTGAAGATGATGAAATTGATTGTACTATAATAAATAGATATCCTAATGAATATTTAAATTCATTAGATCCTCCTAGACTACCGGCTTTTAAGATAGAGTTGAAAGTGGGTTGTCTTATAATGTTGTTAAGAAATATTGCACTAAAAGATGGACTGTGCAATGGCATAAGATTGATGGTTTCTAGATACAATACTCGCATAATTGAAGCTCAAATTTTAACTGGAGAAAAATTTGGCAATTTGGTATTCATTCAAAGGACATCCTTTATACCATCTTCTTTAGAAATGCCTTTCCGAATGACAAGACATCAATTTCCAGTTCGATTGGCATATGCCCTGACTATTAATAAATCTCAAGGTTGGAGTTGATTTGCACACACCAGTGTTTAGTCATGGGCAACTGTATGTGGCCCTATCTAGATACATATCTTTTGATCGTATAAGTGTCCTCCTTCTCAATGACGAGCCAGATTCTACTACAAATATTTTTTATCCTGAAATTTTGTTATAGTGTTACTTATGGATCAAACCACTTTTGTCAAAAGGTACAATTTATTTATTGATAAATTTGTTTCTATTGATTACAAATTGTTATTTTAAAAATATTTTACTATATATGTTGACTTTTGTAGGATTGGGTTAAAAAATATATGGAGCTCAAAAAGATAAATACAATGAGATTGTTTCGATGGGGATGTAACAAGGTAATTTCAATTTGAAATTGTTTTGATATATATATATAATTTTTTTTTTACTAATATACTAACTTTTTTTATTTTCATAAATTAGTAGATTGTCGTGCATGCACTTCACTGGGGATACATACAAGTTGATACAAATACTTTTGGAAAAGTGATGAGGTGCTCCTAGGATTTCTAAGAAAGAACAAGTTTGAAGATCATATATTTTTTTTGTGAAAAACGTACATATGCTAACTACGATCCAGATTTTGTAAAGTTTCCTATCGATGTAAATTTTATTACTTACAATAATTTTGTAAAGCCTTTTATCTTTGTGAAATTTATAACTAAGTTTAGATGTATGTGTAGAAAATATTCATTTGAATTATTGATTTATGCTATGAGTTTGTTTTTGTAAATGTAACACACTAGGTGATATAGTCTTTTTTGCTTTTATTTAAATTGAGTAGATTTGAAAAGTGAAAAATATTGATTAAAATATTAAAAAGTTCATGAAAAATAATAAAATACAAATATAAATTTTAAAAACTATTTTTGAAAACTCAAAAACCAAGTAAGTTTTGGATTTAAAATTTGTAAAAATTATTTTTAATATATACAACCAAACAAAATATAAGGTTTGACAAACTCTTTTCAAAAATCTAAATATAAAATTTATTTGAAAATTCAAAACCATACAGATCGTCTATTTATATTTTCATCTCAATTTTTTTTCAACAAATTAAATAAATTACATTTTAACTCAATAATTTTACCGTGATTTCAGGCATAGGCATACCCTAATAGTCTTATAGGTTCAGGTTGATAACCCATCATTATTTTTAGGGGTGGTTTGACATCCCTATATAATCTATTTTTTTATTTTTTTCTATTACATTACTTCTTCACTTTTCTATATATCTTTTTATAAAAAATAAAAAATATACTTATTTACATCCCCTCAAACATCTTCAATACAGTATAATTTTAATAATAAATTATAAAAAAAAAAGAGAACAAAAAAAAGAAGAGAAAAGTAGATTCAGGTAGATCTTCCTTCCCTCATCGACAAGGGAAGGAATCATTGGAGAGTCAGTCACACACACCCACAAAACCTGTCTCTAGAGATTGAGAGAGCAAAGCAAAGCGAATAGTAGATCAATGGCGGGTCTATCTCTCAAGTGCGGGGACTGTGGAATCCTCCTGAGATCGGTGGAAGAAGCTCAAGAGCACGCCGAACTCACCAAGCACTCCGACTTCTCCGAATCCACTGAGGCCGTCCTCAATCTCGTCTGCTCCACTTGCGGCAAGCCCTGCCGATCCAAAACTGTACGTATATATACAAATCCCTAATTTTGATTTGTGGGTTTTGATTTGTTTTGTGTTTTGTGTTTTGGGGATTGTGTAGGAGAGTGATTTGCACACGAAGAGAACTGGCCATACTGAGTTTGAGGACAAGACTTTGGAAGTGGCGAAGCCAATAAGTTTGGAGGTTGAGAAAGATCGAAATATGGAGGATGCTCAAGGCGAGAGTAGTAGTAGTTGTCAGCCTCAGGGTATGTTTGGTGTGTGTGTGTGTTTGTTGTAGTTGAGAATGTGATAATCATGTTATGTTGATTTTGTTGATGTAGTTGTTGCTTTCGAACCCCTGACTTCAGGTGACATGAATTGTGCAAAATTTACACTATGTTTGGAAATCTAGGAGAGAAAATAAAAAATAAAGATAAGAGAAGAGAAAAGATTATGTTTTTCCAAAATAATAAATAAAGAGAAGAGAAGAGAAGAGAATAGATTCCCTCACAGGTTCATATCGATCTATGCATGAATTGCGAATTGTAAGATTATGATAACAGAGCTAGTTAATGATATTATGTTTTGTGTGTATGTGTTATAGTTGAGAATGTCATAATCATGTTAGTTGATTTTGTTGATATAATTGTTGCTTTTGTAATCCCTGACTTGAGGCAACATGAATTTTGCAAAATTTACACTATGTTTGGAAATCTAAGAGAGAAAATAAAAAAATAAAGAGAAGAGAAGAGAATAGATTCATCCACAGGTTCATATCGATCTATGCATGAATTGCGAATTGTAAGGTCATGATAACAGAGCTAGTTAATGATATTATGTATTGACATCTAATTTTTAGTGTAAGCAACATCCTAAAATTTTGCATTCACTATGCTGTTGTATGCTAGTTTGTTTCAGAAATGAGTATAGAGAGTGTTGTGTTTGCTTCTTCTGCAAGAAACCGTGATTTTTTTTAGATAAAAAGAAAGAGAGATAGGTACAAGAATGAAGAACAGATATTTCTTTGAATACAAATTTGAAAGGCTTACCAAGCTAAGATAAAGAAGCTAAGAAATCAAAAATAAAACTAATCCAATACCCTCCAAACTCTCAAATAGACCTGCAGGAGTGCAAGTGACCCCCATGGGAGAGTGTTAGTGTTAACTTATGGTTACTAGTTTCATGTAATGCATTGATCTTGATTCGGTGAGTGGAAGGTGCACTTTTTATTCTGGGAACTGTGTGGTCACCTAACTTGTGTCTGTTTGTTCTCTATTTAGAAATGGTTGTTCCAGAAGTTGACCAGAAGCTGCTTGAGGAACTTGAAGGAATGGGATTTCCAAAAGCAAGGGCGATCAGGGCACTTCATTACTCCGGTGAGGGCATTGGAAGTTTGTAACCTAGATCTTCTTTACTGGACATATGGACTATTGTTTACAGTGATTTGCTGACATTTTTTTTTTCTCATTATATTTCGTAAAACACTTCTCTAAAATTGTGTTGGCCTCATAGCTGTATCAGTGCAACTTGAGAACAATGTAAGCTTTTAAAAAGTTTTCTGACCTGATCCAATTATGTAGAGCTATGATGTTGGGTTTAGTTAGACCTCTTGTTGAGCTTTGTTAGGATAAGTGAGATGTTGTGAGACTGGCTCCCTATCTATGATTTCACAAGTTTCAGAGCTTTTAATGAGTTTTTTTTTAGGGATCAGCGGAAGTTATTTGTTAGATTAGCACCTATGCAAGTTAGCCACCCCACATTTTGCATAGGGTCAAGTGCTTGCTTCCTTAATTCAACTCTCCCTACGGAGAGTTGAACCCATGACCTTCCCTAGGGACTAAACCCTTAGGAAAATCATGGTGGCCAACTTAATTTTGCTTCTTAAAAAAAGAAAAATACACTTAATTTCTTGTTAGGTACTTATGGAAAGTGATTTTCTATATTCGTGAGTCTCTTGATGAGTAGGTTCGAGATGGTGGTCTATAATCCTTTATGTGTTGGAAATGCTCATAGATTCTAGAATTGTTGAAGAAAGTAAGTATGGTTAAAACTTAGTTGAAATCTATGTTACATGGACTCGGATATGAGTGTCGGGTGCAGGTGTATATCCAAGCGTCAGACCTTCATAAATTTAAATCTTAAGATCTTGGGGTACGTATCCAAAATTGGATATAGGTACGGGGACACGTTATATGCACATATATATTGCATATCATATAATATTCTCAGATGAGATGTTTTAAATTATGTAGAAATATATTAGAAATTAAATATGATTCAGAAAAAATATGAAATTTTTATATCTAATTCATGTGAGAGCCTAAAAATATTGCTTTACTAACAAATATGAATTTCTTCTTCTTCATGTATTGTCACAAATTAAAGGATCTGAGTGTCTAAATTGGATACAAGCGTCGGACACATATCCCACACCCTTACCCATGTCATATCCAGTGGACACGGGTATTGTGGGGGAAATAGAAGAGTCCGTGTAACACAAGTTGAAATAAATCTGTATGGAGACCGAGGGCCAACGATTGTGCCTAACAATGTACTATATAGTTGATTGACACCATAATATGACATATTTGAAACAATTTTATGACAATATTTAAGTAAATTGAATGAATTGGTAACCTTGAAGTCTGCGATGATTTTTGATCTTTAGCAGCTGCATGCTAGAGACGAAAAATTATTTAAAGCATGATGGACTAGATATCCCTATCAACAGTCACCTGCGTGGTATTAATCAAATTCAAAAAGCAGCTACTACCAATTAGATATGCTTATTCTCTTTCATGGGAGTTCATGTTCTATTAACTTCTGCACCATGGTTGTTGGTGTTGATTAATTCATCCAACAAATCTTATTATTGGCATGATGAATTTGCAGCAATCGCCATGCACTTTTTTATGGGACAGTCCTAATTATTTTCTTTCTGTAGCTTTTAATTTCATATTTGCCATCATTATCAGTGTAGATTTAACACACTTACTCTTGTGTAGGAGTTTTCATGCTCACATGCTTTCGTAAAAATGTTTGTACATTAAATGTGGAAGGTCCAGTCTATGAAAGAGATGGAAGAACAACATTTACACAGCTACAAAAGAAGTTAGAAGTTAAAACCAAAATAAGAAGAATGGGTTTAGAGCTGATGACCACTTAATAGGACCTGCTCAATTACAAGAAACACGATCAACTCGAAAGCAGAGAAAATTACTACTTAATAAAGACAAACAATTCTTTTAGCCAATATGAGGGAGGATATTGAAAGGCTCTTCAAACTATAAGGAACGAGCATTGGTGGCCATTATTAGATCGCCGCCTGGAGAGATTAGTGAATTTTCAATTAGTGTAGGGTTACATCAATGATCAACCTTAAGTCCTTATTTTTTTGCTTTAGTTATGGATGAGTTGACGAGAAATATGCATGATGATGTGTCATGGTATATGCTTTTTGCAGATGATATCGTGTTAGTAGATGCGACTAGAGAATGAGTTAACACTAAGTTGGAGATTTGGAGAGAAACATTTGAATCTAAAGGATTTAGGATAAGCAAAACTAAGACAGAGTACATGGAGTGTAATTTTAGTAACAGTAACAATAGAAGCAGAGGATAAGTGAAGATTGAGGACCAAACACTACATAAGAGTGAACATCTTCGTTATTTAGGATCGATTATCATAACGGTTGGGGAGATCAGAGCAGATGTGGTCTATAAAATTAAGGTGGGGTGACTTAAGTGGAGGAGTGCGTTTAGGGTACTATGCGATAAACGAGTGACCACTAGACTAAGAAACAGTGATGTTGTATGGGGACGGAATGTTAGGCAACTAACAAGCAACATGTAGATAAGATGAGTGTTACTGAGATGATGGTGCTAAGGTGGATGTGTAACAAGATTAGAAAAGACAAAGTTAGTAACGAGTATATTCTAGAATGGGGAGGAGTAGTACCGATAGAAGATAAGTTAAAGAAGAATAAATTGAGATGGTTTGGTCATATACAACAGAGACCAACAAAGGCAGTAGTGAAGAGATACGATACAATGACGGTAGATGGAAGTGTTAGGGGGAAGGGGCAGGCCTAGATTGACGTGGGCTAGTGTAGTAAATAGAGATATGAATCTCTTTAATTTGACTAATGATATGACATTAGATAGAGTCGAATGGAGAAAAAAGATTCATGTAGCCGACTCCATTTGATAGGATTTATGGCTTGGTTTGGTTTGGTTATTCCTTCTAGATGGACCAAGTAATGCAAACAAGGGCAGCCCTTCAATCTTAATGTGTTCCCTTAATAATCTTACTCTGATTATCATCCCTGGAAATGATCTATCATGCAGAAGGGTTTGATCATTGCAAAACAGATGGTGGAAACAGTATTGTATGCAACTAATTTTTTTGTTTGCTGTGGTCCATATGATATGTACTACTAGGCATGAACCCAAACCCCTGCCTGATTAGTGGTTAATTATCATCTCAAATTAGCTTTAAGTGAACAAAAAACCTTGCGCTGATGAAAGAAATTGGCAGCCAAGCACCTTAAAAACCAGAAGGTCCAGTAGTTATCTTTTGCTTTGGAGTTTATGTGATGATCATTATTTCATGAATGTCAAATTATTTGTTTCTCAATTGTGTAAAAGATGCATATTTTATAATTGATTGTCCCCTAGTTTCTTGTGCTATTTTTGCATGGAAATTATATAATACCAAGAAGTGGAAGTTCATATGATTTTCTTATCTTTCATTGATTGAATTTATAATTATGCTTTGATTAATGAGATAAATCTACACCGTGCATTTTTGTATGATATGCAGTTTGGCAGATCAGTGGGAACTTTTGCCTTGTTGGTTCTCTTGTGAATGTTTTCTGTCATTTTGTGTAAGTACTGTGTGAATTTTATAAATTGCAAATTTTGCAGGTAACACCAGCCTTGAGGCTGCTGTGAATTGGGTAGTTGAACATGAGAATGATGCAGATATAGATGAGTTGCCGAAGGTATATTTTTCTTCAGATATTGTTTTCTTTTTAAAAAAGTTCTTCAGATACATCTTACTATGTGTATCTGTCTGCTTCTTCCTTATAAAAAGGTTTTGGGGACTTATGGAAGGCCTGTAGAGCTGTAGAACTTAGCGATTACTTCGATTTAAATGTACTTGATGATAGTCCTGCAGTCGATGGTGATGAATGATGGCATTTGCTGGAAAGGAAAAAATGGAAAATTCGTAAGATTTTGATCCCACAGTGATGGATTCTTTTTGGGCTTAGATTTCAAATTGATGGCAGCCTTTTAGAGGAAAGAAACTGAAGAAGAATAAAAGAGAGTTTGTATGGACACTTTCCCAAAAGATGCTTAATACCAATGATTTGTTTCTGAAAAGGAGACCAAATTTGTTACCACAATGGTGTGTTACGTATAAAAAGGTGGAGCAAAACATGCATTGCCCGATTGTTCTATCTTTATGGTGGAAAACTTTACTTTTAGCAATTGTTGTGCATTGATTTTAGAGGTTTTGGTTCTAGTATTAAGGTTGGGGCTCTTTGGAGGTGTGTGGTGTGTGCGGTTCTATGGGTCACATGGATTAAAAGGAATGTCCAAATATTTGAAGGAAAAACTAAAGACTTTGAAAGCACGTGGGAGAAGATTTGGTTTTTGGCTTCTTTTTGGGTTTCAGTGCCCCCTTCTTTCTAAGGGATACTACTATTTTGATCTCTAAGGATGGGAAGTCTGTTTGTAGAATGTGAGGTTTTTATTTTTGAGTTTCTTTGTTTGATTTTCTTCTCCTTTTTTGGTGGACTTGTCCCCCTCCTCTTGTACTACCTTTTCCTTAATATGTCTCCCTTTTGTTGCGGATCAAAAAAAAGGGAGAAGAATAATAAAAGTTGCCGATGAAAAAAAAAAGAACAAGAATAATAGAAGTTGGTGGCACACCTTTTTGTATATTGTTGTGTAGAAAAGGGGTTGTGGAAGTTGCCTTTAGTGTTGTTTGTTATGTCTTGGGTGTTGAGAGAAGTGGTGGAAGTCTTGCATTGTTGGAGGGGAGAAGTAGTGGGGAAATATAGGAAGAAGGCTTGGCTTGTGGCCCCATTGTGCATAATGCGGATTATTTGTGCATAAAGCTCTGAAATCTTGGAAAATATTACTTGTTTTGAAGTAGTAATATGCTGCAACTGACTTTGCTTCTTTGACGTCAGCCCTCTTAAATGTTCTCTTGTTGCCCAAACCAAGTGAAACATTGCTTTGATACGATTTGTTTTTCACTTGTTTGATTCTACCTAGGTACCTGTCAACACCAAAAGTGAGGCTGCTCAGCCTTCCCTCACTCCAGAAGAAATGAAGATCAAAGCACAAGAACTAAGGTACTGCGTCTGTTATCCTTGTAACTATTATGATATCATATCTATGCTGTTTGGTTACAGTTAGAATGCACAAGAATTGAATATTAGGGTTAGGGCTAGAGAGGAAGAGAGAGAGAAGAGAAGATGGTGTGACTAATTGGTTTTGAGTTGTGAAAATCAACCCTACTCCAGCAGTATATATTTCTATGAAGACATATTACAATATGACCATAGTATTCTCAACTAATAAAATAATAAAATAGTAACATATAACTATTCTAACACTCCCCCTCAAACTGGAGTATAAAGATCAAACATGCCCAGCTTGGTAGATAAGCGATAAAAGGAAGACCGAGCCAAGGGTTTGGTGAGGATATCACCCAATTGATCTTCAAAACGAACATAAGGAGTCACAAGTTGCTTTCTTAGTAAGAGGTCGCGAATAAAATGACAATCAACTTCAATATGCTTCGTACGTTCATGAAATACTGGATTATTGGCAATAAAGATAGCAGTTTGATTATCACGACACATACTCATAGGAGTGGGAACAAGAATACCAAAATCCTGTAGAAGAGAGTGAACCCACATCTCAGAAGCAGTATGGGCCATGGCATGGTACTCAGCCTCGGCACTCGAACGAGCAACAACTGTCTGCTTCTTGCTACGCCAAGTAACAAGAATATTGCTAACAAAGGTGCAATAGCCCGAGGTAGAGTGGCGATCAGTCTGACTGCCAGCCCAATTAGCATCACTAAAACCAGTGACAGACAAGGAAGAAGATGGACGATAGAGTAGACCACGGCTTGGGGCACGCTTCAGATAGCGCAAGACACGACAAACAACTTCAAAATGAGAATGACAAGGAGCATGCATAAACTGACTAACCACATTGACAACATATGTAATATCAGGACAAGTGACAGTGATATAATTTCCTAACAAAATGACGATAACGGCCAATATCAGGAAATAAGTCCCAGTATCACCATCCAGTTTAACACAGGAGTCCATGGGAGTATCACTTGGATGAGTACCCAGGAGGCCAGTCTCAGAGAGAAGATCAAGCACATACTTGCGTTGCGAAAGAAACAACCCCCGAGAAGACCGAGCAACCTCAATCCCAAGAAAATAGTGAAGATGACCCAAGTCCTTAGTGTGAAAGTGCTGACCTAAAGACCGTTTTAAATCAGCAATACCGGTGGAGTCATTGCCATAAATGATGATGTCATCCACATAGACAAGGAGAACAATACTCCCAGTGGACAAGTGGTGAACAAAAACAGAATGATCAGAAGTGGAACGGCGGAATCCATATGAAAGCACAACTGCACTGAAGCGATCAAACCAAGTACGTGGAGATTGCATGAGACCATACAAGGCCTTCCACAATTGACAAGCCCTATGCTCACTGCTGGGAACAACATAGCCAGGTGACTGATCCATATAGACCTCCTCTTGGAGATCGCCATCAAGAAAGACATTCTTTATATCAAACTGATATAAAGGCCAAGACTGACTAATGGCAATAGAGAGAAGAATCCGAACAGAGTTGAGGTGAGCCACAGGGGAGAAGGTCTCCAGATAATCAACACCATAAGTTTGTGTATAGCCTTTGGCCACCAAGTGGGCCTTAAGCCGCTCAACAGTACCATCAGGAGGATACTTGACAGTGTAAATCCAACGACAACCAACACTAGGTTTCTCAAAAGGCAATGGAGTAAGGTCCCAAGTCTGATTCTGATGAAGAGCACTCATTTGCTCATTTATAGCATGCTTCCATAGCCTGCTCATAAGAAGAGGGAATGGAAACACAAGATAAGCTACAAGCAAAAAAGTAAAGACAAGTGGAAAGACGATCATAAGAAACAAAATGGGCAATAGGATGTTGGGTGCAAGCACGTTTACCTCGGCGCAAAGCAATGGGAAGATCATCAGAGTCCAGAACGGTAGGAGGGCTACGAGCCTCTGACAAAGAAGATGAACTGTTCGAGCCATAAGAAACAAGGCGGCGATTTTGGGACCGTTGATTGGGACCGTTGATAAACTTGGAGAGGAAATGGAGGTGAAGAAGAGGGATCTACATTAGTGGAGGGTGAAACAGAAGAGGATGAGACACAAGGCACGAGAAAAGTAGGTATGGGAGAAGCTGGCTTCCCCTTACAACAAGATATAAGATCGACTAACAACTGCTGCCCAGATGAAGAAAAAAAAGGGGGTGGACTCAAAAAAGATAACATCAACACTGACAAAGAACCGACGGGACTCAGGGTAATAACACCGATAACATTTTTGAGTACGAGAGTAACCTAAAAACACACACTTACGAGCACGAGGAGATAACTTATCCAGGCCCAGATCAAGGACATGGACAAAAGCCACACAACCAAAAATACGAGGAGAAAGAGGAAACTGGGAACAATTAGGGTATAACTAAGAGAAGGAAGACTGGTTTTGTAACACAACCGAGGGCATGCGGTTAATAAGAGAGCAAACAGTGAGCACAACATCACCCTAAAACTGTTTGGGAATGTCCATGTTAAACAGCAATGTGCGAGCAACATCTAACAAATGGCGGTGTTTCCGCTCAACAACACCATTTTGGGGGGTTGTGTGAACACAACTAGTTTGATGAATAACACCACGATTAGCACAAAAAAGATCCATAGTAGACTGCATATATTCTAAGGTATTATCAAATCGGAATATTTTAATACGTTTCCCAAACTGAGTAAAGATTTCATTATGAAACTTAGAAATTATTTGGGGTAATTCAGACCGTTGCTTTATTAAAAATAACCAAGTTATCCGAGAGTAATCATCCGCAAAAATAACAAAATAAACAAAGCCATTAATAGTGGGAGTCCGAGATGGACCTCATATGTCTGTATGGACTACATCAAAAGACGCGGACACACGACTAACACCACGACTATAAAAGGAATTACGGTGGTGCTTGCCAAGCTGACAAGCATCGCACTCAAGTTTAGACACATGACTCAAGCCAAGAATGGCTAACTTAAGCTTGGTTAAAGACAGATGACCCAAGCGAAAATGCCATTGCAAAGGAGACACGGTAGCACTCAAAACAACAGAAGTAGAACGAGACGAGCTATCAGTGTCCCCTTCTCATGCCCCAAACCAATCATCCTCTTGGCTTGGAGGTCTTGCAAAACACACAAAGTGGGAGAAAAGGTTATGGAAAAGTGAAGAGCTTTAATCAATTGACTAACTGAAAGTAAATTAAATGGAAAAGTAGGAACATAAAGACTAGAGGGTAAGGAGAGAGATGGAGTGGGCTGAAGAATACCCTTACCACTAACAGGTCGGGAGGATCCATCAGCTAGAATAATATTATGTGTAACAGGATAAAGAGTATGGAAAAGAAATGAATTATCGGAGATATTGGAACTAGTTCTGGAGTTTATGAGCCAAGATTGGAGAGATTGAGCCACACAGGCAAGATTACTTGAACCAGCCATTGTAGCTGTAGAGGATGAAGGGAAAGCAGTACAAAGAGACTGGACGAGCTCAGTAAGCTTGCTAAGTTGAGTAGTGAGTGCGTTATGAGAATCAGCTGGGGAAGCAACTGTGCCAGAGGGAAAAGGTGTCGACTGAGAGGATGGAGAATTCATAACTTGGTTCACATGATCAGGTTTACCATACTTCTGCCAACACCAAGGCTCAGAATGACCTAAGGAACCACAGTGAGTACACTTCCGATCACCAAGGGACGCAGAACCATTTCCACGCCCACCACCACGATGAGAACCATGAGAAGTACGACCACCACGGGAACCACGAAACCCAATGTGCGAGCCACGGTGACTTGAGTGGCCTGGAAAACTTCCATGGGAAGATCAACGGTCGCCACTACTAGAGATCAATGCAGAAGAGGCCAAAGTTTGAGAGGCAGAACCAGATGAAGGAGAACTCTGTCCCAAAGAAGAACGCAATAGTCGAGAATAGGCATCAGCAACGGAAGGTAACGTCTCACTAGTAAGGATCTGATCTTTGAAACCCCATAAATCAGAATCTAAGCCCACAAGTAAAGATGCCATCATAAACTCCTCCTAATTCTGCTTTTGTTGTGCTAAATTAGTAGTAAAATGCTGGTGTTGTAATAACTGATCCCACAAATTCTTAAGGCCACTGTAATAATCCGAAAGAGAACGACCAGGCTGTCAAGTAGCAAAAATCTGCTTATATAACTCATAGACCTGGGAGACACTACTTTGATTTGAAAATGACTCAACAAGGGAGTCCCAAATTTCCTTCGAGGTGTTACAAAATTCCACAGTAGTAGCAACATGAGGTTCCAAGCTATGCTAGAGCCATCCCATAACACAAGAATTCTCACTACACTAGTTATCATAGGTGTTATCATCAACAGCAGGCGGAAGGTCAGTAAGAAAATGGGATTTTTTCTTACCCCGCAAAAAGATTTTAATAGCATGAGCCCAAGCCAGATAATTTAAGCCATTAAGTTTCTTGGTAGTGATAGACTTAGGCAACTCATCATCTTTAACCACAGGAGGTTTGATGTTAGCCATGGAAAACACACAGTAGTCAAACAGAAATCAGCCAAATAACAGCAGAAAACAACAGAAATAGAAGTCTGTGACCAAACCAAATAGAAAACAGCAGAAAATAGCCAAAGTAACATAGCCAAAGCAGCCAAATAACACCAAAAAACCAAACAAAGAAGTCTAGGACCAAACCTAGAGATGCCGAACAGGCCAAAGCAACCAAAGCGGCCAAAGCAGCCAAATAACAGAAGAAAATACCAAACAGAGAAGTTTGGGACCAAACCTAGAGATGCTGAACAGGGAAAGAGGCAAAAAAGTATCAAAAATCCAACAAAACAGTACCAAATCTCAAAACAAACCTCAAGGAAGTCCTCTTGGATGATTTTCGGCCCCTATAGAGATGAGCCCACTAGGTAGAACTCGCACAAGTAGAGCAGAAGCAGCAGTTTCGATTTTTCACCAAAAATATTTGAAAATCATTCAAAAAATACAAAACTTACATCAAATGGCTTCAAAAAATTTCACAAAAATCACCATTGAACTCAGAAGGAAGAATCTATACTTGAGAGCCCAACTTGTCCGTACGGATGATGATATCATGCTGATGTCATCATACGGATGATGACATCAGCACATTGCTGTCACCTCACAATGATCTCTAGATTCTGATGAATACTCGAGAAGGCAAGAACTCTGCTCTGATACCAAGTTAGAATGCACAGGAGTTGAATATTAGGGTTAGGGTTAGAGAGGAAGAGAGAGAGAAGTGAAGATGGTGTGACTAATTGGTTTTGAGTTGTGAAAATCAACCCTACTCCAGCAGTATATATTTCTATGAAGACATATTACAATATGACCATAGTACCTCAACTAATAAAATAATAACATAATAACATATGACTATTCTAACAGTTACCTTGAGATGCAAATTTTTTTTTTTGGGCATATTCCTCTTCTAAGATGAAACTCCTTCTATGGTTTCTAACTTGATCCTTGTTTTTTGTGTTATTAGTAGTCTATTTTTTTGCCATGGTTAAAATTTTAAAAAATGAAATATCTCTAACTTTACAAAATAATGAAACGAGATGCATAATATGTAAGGAACTTTTGAAACTACCTTTCTTTTTATTAAACATTGAGTTTCCATTTCTTTATTTGGATTTTTTTCACTTACTATTTCTTTTTTAAGTTTCATTATTGAATCCCAATATCTTATTTGTGTCTACCTTTGGGAGCTTCTTTTAAAGTGAAAGGGGTATGGGATGGGGTGGGGGATTGAGTGCAGCGGCGGTTGGCGGGATGAAATAGTCAGTATTTATCGAAAGGGGGGAGTGTTACATTGATTGAGAATGTCCTTTCTAGTATTCTATCTTATTTCATGCCGGTTCATGTGATCCATTTGGTAGTGGCGAAGTGGCTGGAGAAATTGCAACTAGAGTTCTTATGGGATGGGAGTGAAGAGTCTTTTCATTATCATGTAGTAGCTTGGGATTAGGTTTGTACTCCTAAGGAGAGAGAGAGAGAGAGAAGGGGGTGGGTGGGTTTGGGGTTTTGGAGTTTGGTTGTGTTCATCTCGCCTGTTTGTCTAAGTCTTCGGCCTTGTCAAAAATGGATCATCTTTGGGCTTTGGGGTGGGTTTGGGAATTCAAAGTTTGGTTGTGTTCAATTTGGCTCTTTTGGAGAAGTGGTTTGTGGTGTTTTGTGGGGGAGAGAGAGCGGTTGTGGAGGAAGGTAGTGGTGGTGGTGGCCAAATATGGGCTGGGGTGGGGGGAGTGGTGTACAAATTGGGTGAGGCAGACTCATGGGTGGAGTTTGTGGAAGGAGATTTGGTTCGGGCGGGAGGAGTTTTGAAAGAATGTTTTTGGGTGGCGGTGGGGGTTAAGGTTAGGCTTTGGAGGGATAGGTGATGTGGTGAGATGCTTGTAGAGGTGCTGTTCCCTTTGATTTTTTGTATTGCCGTTGATCGGGAGGTGACGGTGGCTTCTTATGGGCATGTGCAAGAGCAGTTGTTGGTTTGGAATGTTTATTTGTGTTGTGAAGTGCAGGATTGGGAGGTGGGTCATTGGTGGATCTTTTGGGGTGTAGCGGAGGATACTTTGGTGTGGGATTGCTTGAGGTCTAAGGGGTGTTCTCGGTGTCTTCGTTTTATCACATGCTTGTGGGTGGGGTTGCGGTTTTATTTCCGTGGAAGTGTGTTTGGGTGGCGGGTAGTCCATCTAAAGTTGCTTTCTTTGTGTGAACGGCAGCTTTAAGGCGCATTTCGACTATTGACAATTTGATTTGTTGGAGCATATTCTAGTCAACTGGTGTTGTATGTGTTTTGGAGATGCCGAGTCGGTGAGTCATTTGCTTGTTCATTGCCCGGTCGCTTTTCGGCTTTGAATACTCATTGTTGTGACTTTTGGGGTGATTTGGGTTCAGCCGAAGTCGGTGTTGGAAAGCTGGTCTGGGGGAGGGTTGGGAAGAGGCGCCGGAAGGCTTGGCTACTTGCTAGTTAGTGTTTGATGTGGCTGATTTGGTTGGAGCACAATAAGCGTATTTTTCAGCACGTGTCTCGTTCGGTTTCATGGTTGGAGGGGCAGCTGCTTATTGTGCTTCATAGTTGGGTTACGGTGTGAGTTGATCTTGGCGTGCTGACTTTTGTAGATTTGTAGATGATTTGATTAGTTAATTATTATTGGTCTTTTGTAGGTTCCATTTTTGTATTCTTCACATTGCTTTGATGTGTTCTCAATAAAGTATACTTATTTATCAAAAAAAATAAAAATAAAATATTACCAGGTTTTAATCTTTTTGCATTTGGGAGGAGGCGGCGGGGTGGGTGCTGTTGGGCCAAATTAAACGGAAGAAACTGATATTGAGAGCCTTTTAATGTTAAACCTAAATTCTCTCTCTCTCTCTCACTGTGTGTGTGTGGAGAGAGAGAGAGAGAGAGAGAGTATCTTTGTTTAAATCAGATTTGACAGCAGACGAAGTTATCTATTGCCCTGTAACATCTTTAGGTCGCTGTATTAGAGACATGGGATTGAAACCTGCCTACATTAGGGTTTGGTGGGTTTATTGGTATGGAGTAAGCTTGCCTGTTGTTGACCTCTGATGTCACATATACATGACTTCTCATTTCTATCAATTACATATACTGACCATCCTTTTCTATTGAATCTAATTTTATCTTTTTGGTTAGACGATCACATTATTAGATTCAGAAAATCATGTGGCTTCTGGTTCTATACTTGATGTTTTGAATATATTGCATGTATCATATCCAGCGGTTTTGAATATTAAGTTTGCCTCCATTTTTCTTTTATTTTATTACTATGATTGTCCTCGTTATTGATGTTGCTTATGTTCTCAATGTTGTTATTGTCCTTTTCAATGCTTTAGGGAGCGAGCTCGCAAGAAGAAAGAAGAGGAAGAGAAGCGTATGGAAAGGGAGAGAGAGAAGGTGCTTCTTAGTTTACATAAGGACTTCCCTTGTCACATTGACTGCATATCGATCAAACAAAAGAAACAGCTATTTAACATCTAATAAAATTGTCTATTCACAATTTTAGTCAAACTATCAATAAGTATTGGGTTTCGTAATGTCAAAGTAATTTTGGCTTTAGCAGGATTGGTTCGTTGATTGTTACCGTACTTTCATTTTGACTTTGTAAGAGGATATGAATTAAAATGCATATTAAATGTTATCAAATGTAAATTTATTTTTATGACACTAATGAAATTCAAATTGTGCTTACAATGACGCATTGCATTATTAAGGACATAGTCATCTTTCATCTTCTAATGAGGGAATTTTTGAATAAACAATGATCTTGTATTTATATTAAGGGCCTTTTTGGTATTTGAGAATAATGAAATGTTGGCATCACTATCTTCGTTAGGTTTATTAACACTTCATTATGGGTTTTCTCATTTTGTGAGTAAAATTACGGGTTGCAAGTGATATTTTTGAAAAGGAGGTGGTGTCCCTGTAATTTACCCTATTGTTTGACGTGAGACAATATTGAAATTGGTGTTCAAGCCTATTATTTATGGCTAAATGAAAATATTATTTTGTATTATTACTGTAATTTTTTTTATTTTTTATGATTAAATGATGTTTTGGAATGGGTTATAGGACAAATTGCTGGGTAGCTAAGAAACACTATGTGCATAAAATGAGTGTAGTTGAGATGAAAATGCTTTAGATGGATGTGTGATAAAACTAGGAAAGATAGAATTAGAAATTAATATGTTTGTGAAATGGTAGGAGTAGCATCTATTGAAAATAATTTGAGAGAGAATATATTAAGATGGTTTTGTTATGTACAATGATGAAGACCTATGGATGCACTGCCACTGGTAAGGAAGAATGATATGATCACTATAAATGGAGATTTTAGGGGGGAGGGGAAGACCTAAGTTGACATGGGATGTGGTAGGGAAAAAAAGTATTAATTTATTTAATTTAACTGAGCAAATAGCCATTGATTGAGTAGAATGATGAAAAAGATTCATTCATGTACCCAAACCCATTTGATTGGGATACAATGCTTAGTTTAGTTATTAACTGTACTATTAAATGATGAACTGGATATTAATATTATTAAGTAATGAACATAAAATGCCAAAGTAGATAGAAACATACATTGGATGATAAAAACCGCTTAATGTGGAGGTACTAAACATCAACCATATAGCTTCAGTTTAAGAAAAATATAATATAGCTATTATATTATATAATGGATAGGGTTCTTCTAGTAGAAGGGGTAGGGAGGAAGGCCTTTGATGCCAGAACTTGAAATATGCAGTCTGGGAATTTTGTATGGAGCTCCATTTCTATTTTATCTAATTAAGTTTAGATTTGATTTGTTTCTAATGTTACATCTTTTGGATGGTTTGTTGATGACTTAGTTCTATTTGTGTTTTCTGATGTTCATTATTTGGGTTTTTCTATTGGGTTTTTCTAATGTGGGCCTTATGATGGATATCCTCATTAAACACGAGTGCCTGGACCAGCTAGCGATTCAAATCATGATTTATTATGATTTATATGTATTTATATGTATACACTCTACTGTGAGTGGGAGTTCATCATCTATGGAGATAATTTATGGTGAATTTTTTGTTTAATTTTATATTCATTTTGCTTCTTTGTATGCCCTGATTTGTTTTCCTCTGTAACTACACATTCAGTAGTGACTATATACTTTCAATTTTGGATGCTCCATGATTATTACATATTGGAAAGCTCTTCTTAAGTTGATTTCTATTCTTTAGCTCTCTTTCTGATTAATTGATTTGTAAATTTTTTATCCAAATATATGATGCATGATCTTGCATTTGTGATTTTTATATCTGGCCAATGTAATTCCACTTTCAAAGTATTTAATGACATCGTTTCTTTATTTGCTTTAGGAGAGGATTCGGGTGGGTAAGGAACTTCTTGAAGCGAAACGGATTGAGGAAGACAATGAAAGAAAACGGTGCAGCATTATTCATACATCATTTGTTTCTAGTTTCTACTCTTGTTCGGTGTAACATGCAGTTATATTAGCTTACTCTGTTAAAAAATGATGTTTTCTACTCTCACAGATTGATGGCCTTGCGGAAAGCTGAGAAAGAGGAAGAGAGAAGAGCTAGGGAAAAAATTCGACAAAAATTGGAAGAAGACAAGGTTCTTACAATTTCCCAGAGTTCTGTTTAATTTAATTTTTTGGTAATTGATTACCTACAAACAGTACTCTCTATTTGTGATAGAACCTACATTTTATCTGGGGTTCTGAGCTCTTTCTGAAGAACCGAGTCTTGTGCACATGAAGACCTTAAAAAGTAAAAATATTTCTATCAATTCACAATAATGAGTCATCAATATCAAACAATATAACAAAGAATACATGCTGAGAATTGTTTAGAGTTGCGAGACGATTTATTTTAGAGGACTTTAGTTTTCGCAAATAGGCACTGACAGCATTGTTGTCAACAAATAGTAACCAGAAAACACAATGCAAAAGAAAACACCACATGTCAGGGCAATGCTTGGCTGTGCCAAAAAAAATTGGAAAAAAAAAGAAGAGGGTTTCATTATGGGAGCTGTGTGTAAGAATTGAACTAGAAACGCTGTACTGCTTACAGGAGGGTTTGGGAGGGGTGGTTCGTAGGTAGCCCATAGCATATATGTAGCGTAAATGAAAGTAAAATGGAAGAGAAAGTAGGTGATTGATACTCATAATGAGGGTCCCTTGCGTTCTTCCATGCATAGCTTATTTAAAGGTTGGCACAATGGTTGTGTAACATTAGTATGGGAATGTACTGGTGAATTTGAATGCGAACAACCTTTAAAATAAGAGACGTGAAAATGAAAATAGGATAACCACTGGCCTTTAAGGTCAAGTGGTACCTGGTTGCTTTGTCAACCTTAATGATAATAAACTCCTTGTTTAGTGGGCAAAGTATGAGAGAGAGTGTAAATACAAACTCAAAAACAGTCAAAGCTCTTAATAAAGGTGGTCTCTGACAAAAATCCATAATCCAATTTTGTATATATTAAAAGCAAGAATTATCTTCAGGATGTGAAAATAAATAAAAAGATGTCTATTAACAATGAGTTTTTGCTCTGTTGGTTTACTGTTGGCTGTTATCAATAATAAGGTCTTGTATTGGAGTTTAGGATAAGCTCCATTCCATCTAATGAAAAGGGGAAAAAGAGAGGAAGAAGTGTGGCCTGTTAGTTCTTTGACCTCAATTGCCGAACACGATTGCTGACTAGTTCAAGAGTTCAAATGGAGCTGTCTCCGGCCATATTATGTCTTCATTTGTGAAGAACTCATTTTAGCTTAAAATCAAAGTCGTGTCCTATGACATGGTCACATAGAGCTAGAATCAGGAAACATTAACTGACACTTGCGCACTAGAAATTACAAAATGCTTAACTCAAACATTTTGAATTGATAACTAGTTTTGGTTAAGAAGGCACAAAAGATCCAATTGTCATTTCTCAAAGCTGCTTCAAAACCATTTAATGATTATTTATCATAATGTTTTTCAAACAATATAGTTATGTTTTATAGGCAGAAAGAAGACGGAAGCTTGGATTGCCACCAGAAGATCCTGATGCTGCAAAGCCTTCTGCACCTGTTGTGGAGGAAAAGAAGGTTTGAATTCATCTGAATGAATTGTGAAATATGGGTCTATGGTAGTCTGCAAAATCTAGTCAAAATTTGTGTTTGTAAGCATGTCTTTGTATCAACATTGCAGAGCTCATTGCCAGTCAGGCCTGCCACAAAGGCAGAACAAATGAGAGAGTGTCTACGATCTCTCAAGCAGAACCATAAGGTAATTACTGATAATTCCATGTACTTGCATAGTTTGTTTGTTTTCTAGGGAAGAATATGTGGATAGTGGTTGCTCCTGTATTAATCACCGTATCCCCACCTCCAACCAAAAGCAGATAAAGAAACATAGAAACATAAAAGAGATAAAGATAAATAAATAAAAGGAAAAAGAAAAAATTACATGCCAAAATGAAAAAGGAAAGATGTTTCTTGTCCTTTTGAGTTGGTTTTGATTATGTTTTTTTCCTTAAAATCAGGTTCCAACTTGATCCTTCATTTGCATGTGCAATATTTTTCTTCTAGTATTGTTTGATTTCCCACTTAAGAAGAGTGGGAGAGTGAACTGCAACAAGAATGATCCTGAGTTGTTGTAAGAATATTGCATTCTACTGCATAGTTGATAGTTGTACTGATAAGACTAATTATGATAAGTAGAATGAGATATTGGGCTTGTTATTGTAAGCTAGAATGAGATATGTTAATAAAACTCTCTTGCTTTGAGTGTGTCTACTCAACTGTAGCACTACTTCAATCCAAGCAAGTTCCGAAGTTTGCTTTAAACTGTCAAACTGACTTGCACACATGGAAGTTGCTTTGCTTATAGTCCTCAGTAACTCTTAGGCTGTGTTTGGATTATGGATTTGGGTAGGAATTTGGAAAAAGGCGAGAGAAATGAAAAAAAAAGAAGCTTTTATTTCATTCACATTTCCCTCACATTTTTCTTTTCCTTTTTAAACCTCTACCCAAATTCATGATGCAAACACAGCCTGAAGGTGACTTGCACATATGTTTACTCTTTATTGTTAATGGGCCTGTCAGAGGGTTGTACTTTGAACTCATTACCTTGTAATTGATTACTCAGTCCCTCAGGCATTTAGCCCTAAGGGGAACAGGCAGCTTTCTTACTTGCTCTCTCAGTACTAAGGTGAACAGCCAGCGTTCTTTTTACAAATGAGATATAATTATGTAGATGTTTGCTTATATGTCTCCAGAAAATAACACATCCTTGGACTCTGCATAGGAAAATTAAAATGAATTTTTTTTTTTTTTGTGTGCATCTGTTGACAAGTTTAGGACAATATTACAGTTGTAGGATGCCAATTCCTTTGCCATTTGAACTAACACCGGTTCAATTTAGTGAATTTCATTGTTCAGTAACTAACTTACTATTTGTTTTCTATGGTTACTAGGATGACGAGGCCAAAGTGAAGACGGCATTTAATACGCTTTTAACTTATGTGAAGAATGTTGCGACAAATCCCAATGAGGAGAAATTCCGTAAAATTAGACTCACTAATGCCACCTTTCAGGTGAGGACTTCTGTTACAGACATTGTGAAAGTCATTTGTTAGTTAGAACACGCAAGTCAATATCACAATTTGCAAACCAAGAAATGTTGTACCTTTTTTCATGATAGGTGGGCTATTAACAAACTTGTTAACTCATGTCATAAATCAACTTTAAGGGTGGCACCGGTGTTACTAGAAAATGCTAATATTCAAATTACACGTGCTAAAATAGTTAATTTAGTGATCTAAAGTGACCCCAATTTTTTTCCCCAATATATTATTCCCTGTTGGTTTCCTTAGTATAAAAATTATGCAATGTAATGAACTAAAATCTAAGGTGAGTGAAGTTTCAATATGACAAGATAAAAAATAAGCCATAATGCTCATAGAAATGTGTTGCTACATGATTAATTTGGGGGGAAAAAAGAACCTACATGTTATTGGATGTCTAAATGTTAAAAAAAAAAATTATTGTAGCAGTACCTTAAATTCTTAGCGTAATCTATGCGAGTCTATTCCTATTGTACTATATTTTAGAGCATGTGACGTACCACGTTTCCGTTCCATGTCCTAGAACGATCCACGTTCTAGGTAAACATAGGATGATGGCACTTTTGGTTGATCAGCTACCGCATCATTGTTGATTATTGTTCTTTTTCCTTTAATTTTTCAATCTGTCACCCTTGCCAAAGTAGCATCCCCCCAACCCCAAAAAAAGAAAAGTGGGTCGTTTCATTTTTCTTGTTTAGTGGGTATATGTGATGGTTTATTGTGATTGACAGGCTAGAGTTGGTGCACTGAAAGGTGGAATCGAGTTTCTTGAGCTGTGTGGGTTTGAGAAAATTGAAGGAGGTGAGTTCTTGTTTCTACCCAGAGACACAGTCAATAAAGCAGTGCTGAACGAAGCTGGGACCGAGTTGAATAATGCGATAAACAATCCTTTCTTTGGGGTTCTCTAATCCCAACTTTTAAGTTGAAAATGCATACACCGTAAACATGAGGTTTGTTTTTCATATTTCATATAATTTTTAGTTGAAATGCATCCATCACTGTCAACTTTGTTGTAATGACTAGGACTGAGGGGTTTGTTTTACTTCATACATGGATGCTAATTGGTGAGTGTTTTTTTTCCCCCCTTCAAAATTACTATAAAGTGTTACCCCACAATAAAAATTGTTGGTTGGCCTCTACGTTTATTATTAGTCGTCTTTGTTTTGCATTAAGAATAATGCTATACAAGTCACATTTGTGCATCTCTGTTTGGTTGACTTTTCAAGTATAACTAGTTTGCTCAAAGTAATATAAAAAAAAAATTATCATTATTTTCATAGTGGTTTTATTTATTTATTTATTTTTTTTGTGGTGAAAATAATTTTTAAAAATTCAAAAATATCTTTTTGGTGTTTATTTTTATTAAACTAGTTTTTACGCTTTTTAAAAAAGTTTTAAAAATAAGTTTTGAAAACTCGAACAATAACCTCCGGGGGGTTGTATATTGGCACAACTTTTTCAACTTCTTCGGACTCAGGTTCATAGTCTTCTATAGGCATTTCCACTTCTTCACTTGGGTCGGTTTCTATGGATTCATAGTCTTCTATAGGCATCTCCACTTCTTCACTTGGGTCAGATTCTATGTCATAGTTTTCTACCGAATTTTCCCTTTTAAGCTGAAGAAGTGTTAGCCTGTTGGTTGCATTCATTTGTATTGGCAGATATTGCAACAGATGTTCATGGCTGGTGGTTGTTTACCCTCATCTATTTTGTTATTTGTTTTTGTTTTTGTTTTTATTTTGGGGGAGCAAATAGCTTTGATTTGATCAGATCAAGCTTCTTTCTGTTGAGGCCTATTTTTCTGTTTGGGATTTTGTCAATGGAGTAGATTTGTTCAATTGATCACCTAGCTCCAACTGTTTTCATTATGCTAATTAAGGTCATAAAAAAAATTCAAATTACTTACGTTCGACTCATGTCTAGTTTAATAAAAATTTATTTGAAATCGATTCATCACTAAATAAGTAAAAAGTTAAACACACTTTAAAACTTATTAATCTTTTGAACTTCGTTAGTTTTAGACTCAATGAAAATATAAACCAAATTTAATGGATCTCTTATACATTATGAAAAAATGATAATTATTTTCACAATTTTGATGAAATTTATTGACACCCCCCTATAATTACGGAACCTTTAAGGTTGTGTATAGTTTACGGATTTGGAGAGGAATTTGAAAATAGAAATAGAAAATGATGGTGAAAAATGAATAAAATATATTTACATTTAATTTAATTTTACACATTTTTTTCCTTTCTCTTTTAAAATCTTTCTCAAAATTCATGAATCCAACATAGTCTAAGGGTATTAGTGGAGGAGATGAAATTATTATTTACCTTTAGATAGTTTGTACTTAAATATGTGATGATGTTAAATGAACCAATTACTCTCCTTCTTACCTAATAAATTTACTTAATTATTCTCATTTTCTTAACTATATTATTCGAATATAGAATAGGGTCCTGCTTAAGTGTGCAACTCCCTTAAGGTTGCACACCATATGCAACCCAATTGTTAGTTTAGATTACAATAATTGATCAAAACCATTGAATTGTTTAAACGTGAAAAAGTTGAAACCGGGGCAACCGGTTAATGCTTGTATTTGCATGATTGCATCCCACTCACTCTCTGTATTTCGTCTCTATCTCTCTCTGTTCTCCTCTCTGTGTAAGGTTGAGTCAGTGTAACTGTTGATTTCCATTAACAGGGAGAAGCCCCTGTTGGGTTCGTTCCATTGACGAAGCTCTGTAGGGAACAGTATAACGGGCGATTTCCAACAACAACGTAACTACAAGGCTGTGTTGGTTCCATTGCTGAAGTGAAGCCCTTCTCTCGAACTAGATATGAGGTATGGAGCTGTCTCCCTCTCTCTGTCTCCCTCTCTGTCTCTCTGGCCCGTTCACTTCAGCTATTTTCCCTCAAATAAACCCCCATCCTAACTTCAACCGCTCTACGCTTCGCTCCAACGGAAACCCCTCCATTGGCAGCTAACCTTTCTCTTTCTCTTTCTCAAGCGAGTGTTTGTGTTTGCACAAACAGCTAAACCGTGTGAAAATGTCATGTTTGTGTTTGTGTTAACAATTTTCGGTCATCAAGTAATTGTTTGTAGTAATGTCATGTGCAGTATGGCCCCAGCGGAAGTTAAAAGGGAAGGTGATGATTATGACATTCCAAATGAAGCAGATGACATTCGTTTGACGAATGAAAGTCGGGCAGAACCTGATCATGGTTGCGAAGCTGGTCCGAGCAATGAAGAAGCAACCAACATGAACGTTGAAGATGGCGGAGCCGATGTGAAAAAAGAAATGGTTGACGATGCTCATCGCAATGACATGGTTGGTGATGTTGAACGTGCCATTCTGGAACAGAAATTTGATTCGGTCGAAGATGGAGAAGATTTCTACAATGCGTATGCTAAAGCCAAGGGATTTAGTATACGAAAATCCAGATTTAACACAAATAAAGAGGGAAAGGTCGTTAGTAGGCTGTGGTTGTGTTCAAGGGAAGGTCAGAGATTACCAAAATACTTGGACTGTGTTGCTGAGAAGAGTAGAGCTCCCAAGGCACTAACAAGAGTAGGTTGCAAAGTCCAATTTCGCATACGGTACGATGCGGATGCTGGTGAAGGGGGAAAGTATGTTGTGACTCACTTCATCGTAGACCACAACCATGAATTGGCGGAACAACACTGTGTGATGTATCTGAGGTCACATCGCAGTTTAAACAGCGCTGACAAAGCTCAAGCAATGGCTATGCGCAATGTCGATGTGAAGACTAGCCAAATCATGGACTATATGGTAAATCAGTCCGGGTCTTATGAGAATGTTGGTTTCATCCGCACGGATCTGCACAACCATATTCAAGCCGAACGTAAAGCAGAAGTTGAGGATGGTGATGCACAGGGTGCATTGGTTTACCTATGCGCAAAACTTGATGTTGATGCACGTTTTTTTTTACAAGTATGATGTGTGTAACAATAACAAGTTACAAAATCTGTTCTGG